GGGAGCGGCCGGGCCGGGAGCGGCTGGCGGGCGGGCGGGCGGGGCGCAGGCCGGCAGCGGGGAGGCGCCGGCGTCCGAGCCCCGCGCCGGGCCGGGAGCGCCGCGCGGGCCCCGCGCCGCCGCCGCGCCATGGCGGAGACCAAGATCATCTATCACATGGACGAGGAGGAGACGCCGTACCTGGTCAAGCTGCCCGTGGCGCCCGAGCGCGTCACGCTGGCCGACTTCAAGAATGTGCTCAGCAACCGGCCCGTGCACGCTTACAAATTCTTCTTCAAGTCCATGGACCAGGACTTCGGGTCAGTGGGCCGTGGGGGCCTGTGCGCGGGGACGGGTTTCCGCACCTGTCCGCGCCCGGGCAGGGCCTTGGGGAGTCTTGGGACTGTGACCGGGCGCCGTGCCTCAGCTCCCCGGCGGTGCCGCGCGTCCAGCCTGGCTGTGCCCTGAGCTGGGGACGCCTGGGGCCCTGGCTGCCTGCCCAGGAGCCTGGGAGCGCTGGGCGGTGGGGAGGCGAGGGTCCTCGTTTCTCCACCCGCTCTGAGCCGGGGCCTGTGTGGCTGAGTGTGTTGACTTGCCGGTGGTCAAGGTCCGTGGCCCAGGGTGAGCTTGGCGCTTGTCAGACTCAGGTTCCCCTGCCCCCCTTCTGTGGAGGGCAGGTGCTTATAGGGCTGACCTGAAGGGCGTGTGGTTCATGGGGCCTGGGGTCAGAGGAATGTGGGGGTGGGGTGGGGGGAGGAAGGGATGAGGGCAGGGTCCTAGCTGCCCAGTGGGTCCACTGTAATTAGCATGGGGGAGAAAGGTGATCTCTAGCGGGCACAGATTTGTCTGTAGGAGTCTGCGGAAGTTTCCAGAGGCTCAAGAGAGCCTCTCTCTGGATCCCTCCTCCAGGGTCCTGAGGGCAAAGCAGAGGTTGAGGATCACTAGGGACCATGGGTTGTCACCCCCCCCACCCCCGCCTGGAGGGCGCTCTCTGTTGGGCCTCTGTGCTTGTTGAGCCGCATAGTACTTGGGTTCCCGGGAGCAGCCTGGACCATCTGCTGACGCCAGAAGCCTCTGGGTCAGTGTCCCCAGGTCCAGCCTTAGTGGTGGCTGTCTTGGCTGAGGGGACTTCCCGCTTGCACTGGGCAGGGCCTCTGGGACGGTGAGCAGGAGGCCGGCTGTACGCTTGAAGCTCTGAGGCCTGACCCAGCACAGCCGTGAGTAACTTGAGTCCCCAGCTCAGCAGTGCTGGGGGGGTGGGGTACTTAGAGGCCTCGTGGGCTGAGCAGGTGTGCCTGGCCGCCCTCAGGCAGCCCGTGTCCTTGTGTGTGACTGTGTCTCGGGACTTTGACATTGAGGCCATTTCCTGGATTCTCTGGTTTGCATGGACCCTGGGCAGCCCCAGGTCAGGTCAAGTAGGGGCCATTCAGCAGTTCTCGGGGGGGGCCTGAGGGAAGTTTGGACAATTAGACTTTCTTGTTATCCACCGCTACTAGGGAGGGGCAGAGAGGGAGCGTGCATTCTCGGCAACCCTGGGTGGGCTGGGCAGTGGCCCACCATGAGAGGGGTAGCCTCAGATCAGGGGCTGTGAGGACCACCCTTGTGAGCCTGGGCCTCCTGCCCCAGCCTACCATCCCACTGTAGGCCAGGCCTTGAGTTCCCCGAGCCTCTGTTCCCAGCCATGG